TTTTTCTTTATTCTGTTCCGCAGCAGTGAATTCCACCATTCTGTCTTCCAGGTCACTTATCCGTTCTTCTGCCTCAGTTATTCTGCTATTGATTGCTTCTAGTATATTTTTCATTTCAGTTATTGTATTGTTCATCTCTGTTTGTTCATTCTTTAATTCTTCTAGGTGTTTGTTCTTTAATTCTTCCCAGTCTTTGTTAAACATTTCTTGCATCTTCTCGATCTTTGCCTCCGATTCTTTTTCCGAGGTCCTGGATCATCTTCACTGTCATTATTCTGAATTCTTTTTCTGGAAGGTTGCCTAGCTCCACTTCATTTAGTTGTTTTTCTGGGGTTTTATCTTGTTCCTTCATCTGGTACAAAGTCCTCTGCCTTTTCATTTTGTCTGTCTTCCTGTGAATGTGGTTTTCCTTCCACAGGCTGCAAAATTGTAGTTCTTCTTGCTTCTGCTGTCTGCCCTCTGGTGGATGAGGCTATCTAAGAGTCTTGTGCCTATTTATTTTTTTTAATCAATTAATTAATTAATTAATTTTTGGCTGCATTGGGTTTTTGTTGCTGCGCATGGCTTTCTCTAGTTGTGGCAAATGGGGGCTACTCTTTGTTGTGGTGCATGGGTTTCTCATGGTGGTGCCTTCTCTTGTGGAGTACGGGCTCTAGGCATGCGGGCTTCGGTAGTTGTGGCACGCAGGCTCAGTAGTTGTGGCTCGTGGGCTGTAGAGCACAGGCTCCGTAGCTGTGGCGCACGGGCTTAGTTGCTCTGTGGCATGTGGGATCTTCCTAGACCAGGGCTTGAACCCATGTCCCCTGCATTGGCAGGCAGATGCTTAACCACTGCGCCACCAGGGAAGTCCCTGTGTCTGGCTTCTTTCACTTAGTGTAACGTTTTCAAGGTACATCCATCCACGTTGTAGCATTATTAGTACTTCATTCCTTTTTATGGTCAAATGATACTTCATTTTATGGATATACCACATTTTGTTTATCCATTCATCTGTTGTTGGATATTTGGGTTGCTTCCACTTTTTGGCTATCATAAAAGAGCTGCTAAGAACATTCGCACATAAGTTTGAACCCCTGTTTTGAGTGTCTATTTAGCAGTGGAATTGCTAGGTCACATGGTAATTTTGTTTTACTTACCAAGGAACCACTAAACTATATGAAAGTCCCAACTTCTCCACACCTTTTCCAACACTTGTTATTCCCCAGCCCCCACGTCTGTTTGTCTGTTTATAGCTATCCTGGTAGATGTGAGTGGTATCTCTTTTTTTTTTGTTGTTGTTGTTGTTGTTTTTGTTTTTGTTTTTGCGGTACGCAGGCCTCTCACTGCTGCGGCCTTCTTCCGCTGCGGAGCACAGGCTCCGGACGCCCAGGCCCAGCAGCCATGGCTCACGGGCCCAGCCACTCCGCGGCATGTGGGATCTTTCCGGACCAGGGCACGGACCCGTGTCCCCTGCATCGGCAGGCGGACTCTCAACCACTGTGCCACCAGGGAAGCTCTCATTGTTGTTTGAACTGCATTTCTTTGATGGCTAATGATGTTGGACATCTTTTCCTGTGCTTATTGGCCATTTGTATATCTTATTTGGAGAAAGGTCTATTTGAGTATTTTGCCCATTTCTTAATGGAGTTATTTGTTTCTTTTGTTGTTGTATTTGAGTTTTTAAGAAATGAAAGTTTGCTGGGGGGAAGAAAGTTTCCTGAAAGCATTTATTTCAGGAAAAGTTTATAGTATAGGTGAGTGGTTGTAGAACTGACCCACAGGCCAAATTTGGCCTGCCACCTGTTTTTATACAGCCTAGGAGCTAAGATACATTTTACATTCTTTAATGATTGGGGAAAAAATCAAAAGGAATAATATTTTGAGATGTGGGAAAGTTATATGACATTCAGATTTTCACCATTGATAAATAAGTTTTATTGTACCACAACCACCTTCATTCCTTTATATTTGTCTATACTTTCCTGTTACAAAGGCAGAGTTGCATAGTTGCAACAGAGCTTGTATGTGGTAACTGTCATAACACTGCTGCTCAGTGCACTGCTAACTGGACTGACACGGTTCAAATGCGGCAGCATTTCATGTACCATGTGTACCTCTGTATTGCGGCATTTTATTTTTTTATTATCAGTATATACCTATCATGCCAAAAGAAGAAAAGAAAAAAGTGGGTTTTCAGATGGCAAAACAGATATATATTCTGAGCTCTAATTTCAGCATTGGTTTTTTTGGACCTAAATGCACGCGCAAAGGAAATTTCCTAATCCATTTGACCATGCAGTTGAGGAGCTTCCACCCAGCCTTCAGTTGGAACTGATCAATCTGCAGTGTAATGATGTGTTAACAGGCAATATCAAGAAAAAAATCAAATATGATTCTGTAAATGCCTTCCAAGTGATGAATGTGCTCAATTAAAGATATGTTTACAGATATGTGTCACTATTGGCAGTGTGTATCTGTGCAAAAAGACATTTTCAAAGATGAAATATGTAAAATCTCATTACAGATCAGCATTAACAGCCGAACACTTGCAATTGATTTTCATGATAGGGAATGCTGACTTTTTTTTTAAATTGAAGTATAGTTGATTTACTATTGTGTTAGTTTCGGGTGTATAGCATAGTGATTTGTTTTTTGTTTTTGTGGGGGTTTTTTGCAGATTATATTCCATTATAGGTTATTACAAGATAGGGAACATTAACTTTGAACCCTAATTAAGCCAAATGTTATCCCTCTAAGAGGAATTCCATCCTTCTCATTAGTAGACCTGTATAGTAAAGGTATACTCAGTTATTACTATATTTTTAATTTCATTAATAAATTATTATTATTTAATTTCATTAATAAATTATTAATTATTATTTCATTAATAAAAAATTGATTATCTCTTGCTATGTAAGTACCTACATGATATCCTTGATTTTGCCTGTTGACCCCCAAAGCCTAAAGTATTTGCTATGTAGCTCTTTACCAAAAAAGTGCTGACCCCTGGTATAAATATTAATCTGAGCTATCCCTTAATCTGACCCTGATTTACTCTTCCTTAATCCTGGTTTACTGTTCCTTAATTGGAGTGTTTATTTCTAACTTGCTCTTAATTCAGTATTTCCCAAATTCACCTCATAATAGTCACAAGGTGTACTTGTTAAAAATACAGATTCCAGGGGCTTCCCTGGTGGCGCAGTAGTTGAGAGTCCGCCTGCTGATGCAGGGGATGTGGATTCGTGCCCCGGTCCGGGAGGATCCCACATGCCGCGGAGCGGCTGGGCCCGTGGGCCATGGCCGCTGGGCCTGTGCGTCCGGAGCCTTTGCTCCGCAACAGGAGAGGCCGCAGTGGTGAGAGGCCTGCGTACTGCAAAAAAAAAAAAAATACAGATTCCATTCTGATTCAGCCAGGTGCTATATCTTATGATTAAGAAAATTTGGGAAACAGCCTCATACTTGAGAGATTTACTTCTCAGCTTAGCCTAGCAGTACATTAAATCCCCACTGTTAGTTTGTTCTTAATTCTCTAATTGCTACTTTTTTCTTAGGCCTATTATTAGTTCTGCTAATCTGCTAATCCTCCCTTCCCTGTAAAACACCTACTACCATCTGTTAGTCATTTCTTAGGTGGACCTGCTTAAGGTAAAATCTGTAACTTTTAGAGACTATATGCCTTGATTTATACAAGTACAAGCCTTGAGTCTAAGCTTATAACAGAATCTTTTATTTAGACAACATTTAACACAGATTTGAGGTAGGATCATCAAAAAGATCATATTCTAAATTAAAGCCTGAATTCGAAATGTTTCCAGTGATGACGGACTCTGTATGACCCATGGAGTCCTCTGCTTACCTAACAATGAAAAAGATCTGTGTGAGGGTTTAGATTACTTTATATGCAAAATGAGTTTATTTTATTACTGCCAAAATATTTTAGTTTTATTAAAGTATAATTTTTAATACTTTAAAAAAGTAGTCATTTTTTGGTGTTATATTTTAAGAGGTTAATATTTAAATATTGTATTGAGCTAGTACCTTAGAGTACTTTTGCTTCTGATGCATTTCAAGCTTTAATGAAAAATGCATCACTGTTTTTCTTCAATTACTTTTTTTTTTTTTTTTTTTCGGTACGCGGGCCTCTCACTTTTGTGGCCTCTCCCGTTGCGGAGCACAGGCTCCGGACGCGCAGGCTTAGCGGCCATGGCTCACGGGCCTAGCTGCTCTGCGGCATGTGGGATCTTCCCAGACCGGGGCACGAACCCGTGTCCCCTGCATCGGCAGGCGGACTCTTAACGACTGCGCCACCAGGGAAGCCCCTGGGGCTTATTTTTAAATAGTCAAATATTTGTTCTATCCATTACAAATCCTAAAATAAAAGTTGTCAAAGTACACTTCCAGCAGCTTTTCTTATAAAAGTTGTAGTGTCAAAAATGTAATTTTTTAAATGTAATTCTTATCTCGTAATAGGAAGTTAGTAAAAGACTTGTACACTTATCGACCAGTGCTATTTTGTCACCTGCTTGCGAATCATTACATTTTATATCCCAGCTTTGATATATACACACACACGTGACAGACCAAAACATTTAGTCCCATTTTGCTGCTAGAAGGTCAAAAATCAGAGAAGTTGGGGGGGAAAAGCGTTTACTGTAGTTTTATGTCAGCTCAAATTCTTTATGGAATGAGAGAGGGCATTTCTTCTTTATATGACTGGAAGAATGAATCTTCCCTAAAGATGAATTTCTCTTTTGCCCATCTTCAGAGGGTGTGTGGTCATGAAGGGAGAGTGTAACCATTCCAGATCGGTCCAAGTAAATATTGCCTCATTTACTTAAAGTGGCTTGGGTATAAAAGGAAATGGCTTTGCTTTAGTTCATTTTTCATGTTGGTTGTATTTGATGTTATGTATTTGGCAGTGAAAACATTCAGAATTCTTCTCAGCATATTTATGAAAATCATATTTTAAAATCCCAGCTATTTACATTAAAACGATTGTTTCTTTTCTCAATGATTTATAGATGAAACCAGCCTGTATAAAAGCCCTTACTCGTATATTTAAAATATCTGATCAAGATAATGATGGTACTCTCAATGATGCTGAACTCAACTTCTTTCAGGTAGCCTTTTATTTCAGATATTTGTGTATCTTGGTCTTTTTTTGCTGAGAAGAGAAAAAATTTATTGGCTTGAACAATGGTATTTTGATAAACATGCATCTCTTTCATGTAAAAACTCTCTTTCACATCAGGCTATTTAATCTTTACCTAGGGGATAAAACTCTCTTATGCTTAGGAATTGAGGGGACTCTGAGAGTGTCATTTCATGGTGTACAGTGGGTTTATTAAGGATGACTTGATGTCTGAACTCTGAATTATTTTTCTTTCTCGGTTTTGTATAACATAGCTACACAAAGAGCTCTGTGTTTTAGGAACATGATGGGGAGAGTAGGGAAAACATGTCCTAAGTATGACATGTTTTACTTAATACAAAATAGAGGCTCTGCTAATTCAGAATATGTTTCCTTTGGTTGCAACTCTTTGATTTAATGTTGCTTTGTGGATTAATATTTGTATTATTTGTGGTTTTAATGCTGATTTGTTTTTAACTTTATTTTTATGTTTTTTGCTAGAGAATTTGTTTCAACACTCCGTTAGCTCCTCAAGCTCTAGAAGATGTCAAAAATGTAGTCAGAAAACATATAAGTGATGGTGTGGCTGATAGTGGATTGACACTGAAAGGTGGGTGAATGGTGCTTTTTCCCCCTTTTGAATTTAATACTTTCAAAATTTAGCAGAAGGCAAAAGTCTATAGTATTATCTATATTTAGGGAAATGTTTGTATTTACTAATATACCTAAAATCTAACCTGGATGTTTAAGAGTTGGAAGAGGCAGGCGTTGGTGGGGATAATTATCTTTACTGTGAGTATAAATTAGAGGTAGGGAAATTGATTGGATCTCAGGAGTGCAGAGGTCCATCTGAGGGTAAGAGATTTCAGAAACAAATTTATCTTAAAATTAAAATGATTTCATTTGTTTTTATCATATAACCATGTGAATGTCAGTAAACATATAAGTATGAAACATATTCCTTGGGATATGTTTTTGGTCCTTTCATGTAGTGCCATCTCTTGCTGACCTGGGTGTATCTGTGAAATGATTCTGAAATCAACTCTTTGAGACACTTGTGAACATTGTTTTGGTTTGACCTTCCATATGCAAAACTAGTACACATATGTTCAGGAGTCTAGCTCTTGCCGTTATGTGTTACATGCTTTTCTTCCTTGTGACTCTACCCATTTTCACATCAGCTATATTTACTAATTTATTTTATTTCAGGTTTTCTTTTTTTACACACACTTTTTATTCAGAGAGGGAGACATGAAACTACTTGGACTGTGCTTCGACGATTTGGTTATGATGACGATCTGGATTTGACACCCGAATATTTATTTCCCTTGTATGTACCTTTGGCTTCTAATTGATTTCACTTGCCAGTATTTTAAAGTTTTATTTAGCACATTGGTAGGTAGGCTCTGAGCTACTCAGGAATAATTTATACATTTATAGAGCCGTTTATAGCAGGGTTTCTCAAACTCGGCACTATTGACATTTTGGACTAGATAATTCTTTATTGTAGAGCCTGTTCTACGAGTTATAGGATGTTTATTAGCACATCCTTAGATGCCAGTAGCACCTCTTCCCCCAGTCGTGACAGCCAAAAATGTCCCCTCAGGAGTGAAATCATCCCCAATTGAGAGCCACTGATTTATAGCATGGCTCAAACTCTTCCTCTTCTTCTAATGAAGAATACAAGTATCTTTTTTTATTCATTTTATTGAGGAAGGAGATAAAAGATGCTAGACGAACTTGTTTTTAGAGTCAAGGGATCAGAAATATATTGGTTAGCATTTTTCTTTTCTTTAGTCCTGCTCCTCCCTAAGTTTTATAGCCTGTTCTCAGCTCAGGATAAAATAAGTATTTTTCCTAAACGACCAGTCTCTTTGTGGTTGTTTTTCTTTAGATAATGATATGTTTAAGTTTTGTATGTTTAATGATGAACCCAGCATCACCCTGAAATAGGAGACTGCCTTGCTATAGGATGCCTCTCCCATACCCAAGGGAAGTAGGCTTTTCAGGGAAGTGACTTGCCAAGATCTGGCCTTTGAGCCTTTCGCCTTTTTTCTTCGCTTTTTCAGTAGCACATTATCTTCATGTTCTCCTTTTTAATTTTAACATAGCACTGCTAGCTATCCATGCAAGGGTTCAGAAAAACTTTGTTGTTGTTTTTCCTTCCCCATCATTAAGGAAGCAAAATTTCTAGTTGGATTCCTGGTCCATTAATCAGTTCTAAGTTAAAACTTCCCTTGTCAAAGTTATTAAATCTTGGCTCAAGTAATTTCCCAGGTTTTTCAGTAAATATATATTGAATGAATGCATTTGTCCCAGGACTTTTTTTTATCAAGTTTTCTTTTCTGTGCCATTTATGTGGGTAGATAAATTCTACGGGAGGTTGCTTATTGCTTTCTAAAGTATGACAATAAGGAAACTCCATCTTTTATGGCTTTGTGACTTACACTAAGATCTCTTTTAATTTCTTTCTGCGCTCTACGTTTAATTTTCTGTAAAGGAGCCCCTTCAAAGCCACCACTTGAGTCTTCTTATTAAACTCTCTGCCCCTGTCCTTCACACTGCTGCTAGATTAATAGATATACAACATGGATTTTGCCATGTCACTTACCCTTCAAGACAGGATAAAGCCTAAGCTTCTTAACCTGGCGTAGGAGGTCATTCATGATCTGCTCACTCCGGCTCACTCCCTGCCTTCATTCTAGAAGTAAATACTAAACTATTTCTGGTCCACCAATCAGATATTGTTTCCCACTCCAGGCTTTTGCCCATGGTATTTTTACTCTCTTCCTCCCTCTGCCCCCAACCTAATTCATGTCTGTTATCCTTCAAGTCTCAATACAGGTGACATTGTGTCTCAGCAGTGCTGACACCTTCCCATCCCCAGGCCAAGGTGTTCCCTTTCACAGGGGTTCCCCTAGCATCTGTAATTTACCCATACTCAACAGTTGCCTCATTCTGTTGAGATAGTGAGGTTATCTACTTGTGGTCTGTCTCCAGCTTGAATGTGGTTCCTTAGAGGTAGGGAGCCTGTCTTGTTTTTATGTCCCCAGTACCTCTCTGCATTTGATAAATGTTTATTGACTCGAATTTAGGGTGTGTCAGAGGTCAAATCAGGCAGAAATAACATCTCTTCACGTCATTTTCAATTCATTACAATGTTGACATTGTTTAAAGCTCATAATTTTGACTTATAATTGGTTTGTAGGAAGAACAACCCATTACAGTTTGATCAGTATTGTCTGTAAATTTTTTAATACAACCTGCCCTTCAGATAGTTAAGAAAACTGTCACCTTGGAATGAGCACTATTATGACTCTTCTGAGAATTGCCATACCACTGCAGTGACTTTCCCTGGGCAAGTCTAAATGGCTACAGAAAACATGTTCTGTAAATGCTGTCATCCTACAAAAATACTTGTTGCAATTTCATGTTCATTTCTCCAGTTAAATTTTAATATTTGGTTAATGATTTATTTTACTTTTTTTTTTTCATCAACAGGCTAAAAATACCTCCTGATTGCACTACTGAATTAAATCATCACGCATATTTGTTTCTCCAAAGTACTTTTGACAAGCATGATTTGGTAAGCTTTTAGCTGCAGTTTTCCGTGATATATGATAAAATATTTTCCTGTGAATGATGTAACTCTGATCCCTGAGCTATTGGGTATTCCTGTCACATAGCCAAAAATTACCCAAACTTTCTTTTTTTTTTTTTTTTTAAACATCTTTATTGGAGTATAATTGCTTTACAATGGTGTGTTAGTTTCTGCTTTATAACAAAGTGAATCAGTTATACATATACATATGTTCCCATATGTCTTCCCTCTTGCGTCTCCCTCCCTCCCACTCTCCCTATCCCACCCCTCCAGGCTGTCACAAAGCACCGAGCTAATATCCCTGTGCCTTGCGGCTGCTTCCCCCTAGCTATCTACCTTACTACGTACCCAAACTTTCTTAAACTAGCAAAGATACTTTCTCATATTATTTACTTTATTATTTTCTCAAGATGAAAAAGTCTAGTTTCTGATAGACCCTTGCATAGGTTTCCTTATATATGTGTAAGGAGTTTTCTTGATAAAATGTAAAATTTCTTCTCATTTGTTAGTTTTTAGAAACATAGCTTTACTTGATTAGGGGGCTCTTGCAGTTGGGAATTATCCTCTTAGATATCTAAATGTTACATATACTTTCTTGTGTATCTTCAGGATAGAGACTGTGCTTTGTCACCTGATGAGCTTAAAGACTTGTTTAAAGTTTTCCCTTACATACCTTGGGGGCCAGATGTGAATAACACAGTTTGTACGAATGAAAAAGGCTGGATAACCTACCAGGGATTCCTTTCCCAGTGGACGTGAGTATAGAGCTCACTTCTTTCCTCTAGAGTTACAGCTAGTTTGAAATTATGGTGCATTACATTCATCATTTTGTATATTTGTCAGATCTTGTGAAGTGCTTCAATGATAGCTGCCTGTGAGCAGGATTTATAGTGCTGCTGCTACCTCTGAGATGAACTATAGATGTTCTATAAATTTATCAGGAAGGGATGTGTTTGCTTTTGGATGAGGTACAGGGAAACAGTAATAAGTCATATAAAAATGGAAGTAAATTTTAATACTTAAAAATTTTTTATTGGAGTATAGTTGATTTACAGTGTGTTTTAATACTTTTGATTAAGGGAAACATCATTGTTATTGTACAAATCTTGTATTTTCAGAATACGGGGAGAGCATATTTTACTTGACACTGAATTCTTACTTTGAGGGTTTTTTTGTTGTTGTTGTTTGTTTTCAGTGAACTCTTAGACTTAGTGAGGGTGTCTGCAGTCTTGTTGACCTATTGTCTAGGGTGCTAAAAAAATTCTCTGGTTGTGCATAATGACATAATTACTTTAGCCTTGGCGAAAATAACTTTCTCAACACCAGGATCTGTTCTTTTTTCAGATCATACGAAAGGTTAACTATTTTCAAGTGTCTTTTAGCCTTTCAGTTATTTTTTGCACCTTTTGCAAACCTTTTCAGATTTAATTATCATTAAGTCCTTAACTAGCCAGTGTTTGCAGTACAATATGTAACTTGGGAAGCAAATAATATAAAATATCCCTGCTCTAGATCTTACCAGCTGCTCACTGCTCATCTGTGTGGCCTTGCTCTCTCCGGGCAGGTGGAATAGATACAGGAGCCCCTTCCACCCCCCATCTTGCATTCTCCTCCCTTTCATTTCTGCCCTAAGGATGTCACTGTAGGAAAAGCCATTGTTGGGCACATGGGAAATTAAAGCAGTCTGACAAAAATTATCTGGGTCTAGTGGTAAAATTATTTGAGCTGTTGTAATTTTTTTTTAAATAAATATTCATTTAGGAACTTTTCACATTTTAAACTCTTCCCTTTCCTAGGCTCACGACCTATTTAGATGTGCAGCGGTGCCTGGAGTATTTGGGTTATCTAGGCTATTCAATATTGACTGAGCAAGAGTCTCAAGCTTCAGCCATCACAGGTAAGTATCTGAATCCTATTTAATTAGAAAAAAATTTTTTTTAGGATTCCAGTTTCATATGTAAAAAGAGTAAAAATAAATGCATCTTCATTAGTCTTCCATGTCTATACTATTTGTTTTCCCTTGATTTGGTAATCACTTTTGAGGTAAGCTGCTTGATTTAATTGTTTATCAAAAAGGAAAGAGTAGAGGTTTTACCTCTAGTCTCCCCCTGAGGGTACTTCATTGATGAAAATCGGGGAGGGCTATGGGCATGAAAAGTATTTACCAGTCTATCTTGTGTTTTAATTTTCTTTAAACATTAAAAACAGTGCCTATAACACATGATCCTGGTATTCAACTGATTGTACATCTCTCAGTTTTATAACCTTTTTCCACATTAAAAAATCTTTCACATATCTTGTAATGTTAACCAGGCATTCTTGCCAGGCAATGTGCTCCACTTAAAGAAAACCCATAGATATAATATGAAATAACAAATTAGGGAACTGATCATTTCAAGAAGTTCTTATATCCTGATTTGCGGGGGAAAATGCCATATCTTACAGGAAGCCCCATTACAGGAAGACAGCCTTTGTGAAATTGACAGAGCAAGTACCCTTCAAAGTACTTAACCAGTTAGACAGTATTTAATGCAGCACCAAAGACTAAGGAACTAATTAGCCAGCATGAGGTTCTTTCACTCAACAAAATATTGTGGCCATATTTCTATAATCAATAAGTATACTAATATATCTATAATATTTATAATATTATATCTTTAATATTAGATAAAGTATCATCATATGGATATTCTATAACTTAGCTACCCCATAATTATTATCTGTTTTTTATCACTTTCAGGTTTTTTTGCTATAAATAGTGCCTCTTGGTGAGCTTTCTTGTAGTTGAATCTTTGGGTATAGTTAAAGGAGGTCTCTTTACCTCAAGAAGAGATGCCTCGGGCTTCCCTGGTGGCGCAGTGGTTGAGAGTCCGCCTGCCGATGCAGGGGACACGGGTTCGTGCCCCGGACCGGGAAGATCCCACATGCCGCGGAGTGGCTGGGCCCGTGAGCCATGGCCGCTGAGCCTGCGCGTCCGGAGCCTGTGCTCCGCAACGGGAGAGGCCACAACAGTGAGAGGCCCGCGTAGCGCAAAAAAAAAAAAGAAGACATGCCTCATTGCTCTGCTGATACAACATTGTTTTCAGGGCTGCCTCTTTTACAGATTTACCTTAGAAAGTCCAGTTAACCCTAGCGTGCATATCCTCTTTCCATTTATAGACCCAAGAGAGTGCAGTTTTGAGATAGCATCTTTTAGTTTATAATTTGTTATGAGAATAATTTATAACAGAAAAAAAGATGGGATATAGTATTGGCTGTATTCATTGTAATTTTCATTCATTTTTCAGATATCATTTTGTTATGTAAACGTACTACTTATTTTATGATGAAATGAATATCATTTGGTTACTAGAAGTTTACAGCCGACTTTCAGAAATGCATCTTTTTCACTAAGTGGGGCCCTTCTGTATTATATTTTGTACTTTATTTCACATACCGCTTGACTACTGTACAGTATGTTTATTGATCGAACACTTTGTAAAAATGATAAATAGCAATACGCTATTTTGCAGAATGTGAAATGAAGGCTCAGTAAATCTAAGCAGTACATAATTAGCTTTTTTTTTCTTTTTAGTAACAAGAGATAAAAAGATAGACCTTCAGAAAAAACAGACTCAAAGAAATGTGTTCAGATGTAATGTAATTGGGATGAAAAACTGTGGGAAAAGTGGAGTTCTTCAGGCTCTTCTTGGAAGAAACTTAATGGTGAGAGTTCTCAAGAAATAGAACTATACTCAACAGATATTTATAGTCACTGAGTTTACATAATTTTTTCATAACCATTTACCTTTTTAGATGATTAGTAGAACTGAGTGACCTATGTATAACAGTAAGGTACAACTAAAGTGTAACAATAATCTCATTGAACTAGCTTTATCTTTGCTTCATTGATGTTAGCTATCATTTGTCTTTTTTTTTTTAAACAGCTTTTAGATGGGGGTTAAATAAATACACATATGAAAGCATCAAACACAGTGCTTGGCATGAAGTAAATGTACAGTGAATATTTTGAACCGAATACTGATACCTAATTCTGACTACTGACTTGAGTAAGGAGATTGACATATTTGTAGATGAAATAGCAGGCCAAATTATAGTGTAAGAATTGCCAGCAGGTGGCTCTGGAATACACTTTCAGTGATATCGTTTACTTCCTTTTCAGCTACTGCTTTCCCTGTATGCAGAACAAATGCATCTTTTATTTTAGACCTTAAGAACTAAGAAACAAAATCAATATCCCCTTTGTATTGATAAATAATACATAGTGTAGGGAAGAATGTCCTTTTTTTGGTAACACACCATACATGCAGAGCGCACGTGTTGATGAAAACTAGTTCCTGTAATTTCTTACTATAAATACTGAGATGTTTTTGGTTGTTTTCAGAGGCAGAAGAAAATTCGTGATGACCATAAATCATACTATGCAATTAACACTGTTTATGTATATGGACAAGAGAAATACTTGTTGGTAAGAAATTTTCTGGCATATAAAGATTATTAATTATTGGGTACATTTTAAATGAGTCTTTGAAAACATAATTAGATTTAATTTAATGGTTTTTGTGTGATTTATTTTTTTACTTGGTTTATTCATTAGAATTAATTTTAATTCCCTTGATCCATGTGGTGATTACATGGGTGTAGATATAAGTAAAAATTCATCTATCTGTGTGCTTAATTGTATGTTATACCACCATAAGAAAGTAAAAAAAAAAAAATTAAATCCTCTTTGCTCTTTCTTCCACTTTTATTTTTAAAAATTATGTCCTCTATTGTTGACTAGAAATTAGTTTGAAGACCTTTGTGCAGGGGTGGGGTAGTTTAATCTGTAATTGAATCAGGTTGTATCTGTTTAGCAGGGAGGAGTGTATTTAACAAGTGTGGTAGCCTAAAAAATGATTGAAAGAATGGTATGACTGAAAAGATAATATGAAATAGTAAAAAGAGGTTTTATGTTCTTTTTGGATCCAGTCTGATTTTGGTTTGAATGCTGGTCCACCACTAATCAGCTGTGTGACCTCAGGCAAATTGCTTATTCTCTCTGAGCCTGAGTTTCTTATTAAGTTAACTAATATGAGAAGCTCCTGACAAATAATAGATACTAAAGAAAGTTCATTCCCTTTTTTTTTTCTTTTTGGAAGTAGTTTATTCTGCTAGACAGATAATCACGTTGAATTTTATGCATATTTTGCTCTTTATGATAAAAGTTCTTTGTCAGTTTCTTGTTAAACCTGTTTATCTCTCATTCTTCTCCTAAGTATAATTCTGTATATTGGGTACTCAGTAAATCTTGCTGATTGTTAACTTTCCGGTTCTATTGTTAAAACCATTCATTGCAAATTGATGTCTTTCATGTCTCTGAATATCCATGCTCTAATAGTGTTTTATTTGGAATATATTGAGTCACCTCTGACTTTACACTTCCCTTTTCTTCTCTTCAACAAAGAAGCACTATCTTATATAGCTCAATACTGAATTTTACGCTTGTTGGATCATTATCATATCACAGATGGGATGTTTCTTTAGAGATTTTATAATAAACATTGAAAAAGAGTAGGCAGTGAAGTAGAACAAAATAACCTTAATGTACCGTCCTTTGCTTTGTGGTTTTTTTTTTTTTTTTTTTTTTTGCTTTGTGTTTTTGATTGGGGAGGAAAGGTGGTGTGGTAAAAAGAAAAAAGACTTGGGAATCATATCTGAGTTCAATTTTTGGTCTGATGACTAGTTAGTTGTGCTATCTTTGGCAGTTGACCTAATCTCTTTAGCCTGTTTTCTTATCTATAGTATATAGAGAATGCATGTAAAGGGCCTGCCTAGCACACTTTAGTCACTCACTAAATGTTAGTTTCTGTAGGACCTTAATCACCATTTTTCATCTTCAAAAATCAGAAACTACTTGTTTATCTATATGTCTTACTTCCAAAAATAGTCTGAAAATTTATGCTTAACTAGTATTTTTAAATTAGGAAGTCAAGCTAAGCAAATAATAAAACATCATGACTTTAATTTTACATCAGTGTTATGATACTTATGTTTCTGTCTTTTTCTTTTTACAAGTTGCATGATATCTCAGAATCGGAATTTCTAACTGAGGCTGAGATCCTTTGTGATGTTGTGTGCCTGGTATATGATGTCAGTAACCCTAAATCCTTTGAATACTGTGCCAGGATTTTTAAGGTTTGTTGCTCTTTTGGTCTAAAACCAAGTTTAACTTTATAAGGAGTTTAATGGAATTGTAATGTGGTGTTTTCTAACCAGGGAATTGCAAGAAAATTATTTGTGGAGCTTTTCAAAAATACATACATTTGTGTCCTATCCCTAAAGGTTCTGGTTTCATTCTGAGGTGGTAGAGTCGCAGACATCTGTATTTTTAAAAGTACTTTTTTCCACATGTGACTCTGATGTGCGTTCCTGGTTAACTGGTTAAGAACCTCTGCATTAATGGAAGGTCTTAGGAATGCACATGGATTATATGTTGCCCGTTATACCAAGAATAATAATAGAGCAAGGGGATAAACCAGAGGCTTGAAAAGTTATCAGTTACTTTGAGATTATCAACAAGATTCAATAAGAGTAAAAAAACTGTATGTACAAAGGAATTTACTCTAGCATTGTTTTTAATAGCAAAAACCTGGAAATAATCCAAATGTCTAACAATGGGAAGATAGTTTACCAAATTGAGACAAAATGATCCTATGAAATTTATGTAGCCATTAAAAATAATGGTTTTGAATTCTGAAAACATGGAAAATTCAGTATTATATTTTTAAATGGTTATGTCCGGCATGACTACAACTATGTAAACATATATATACGCATGTACTTAAGGACTAGAGGTAATATCAAAAATTGAAAATAGTGTGCTTTAAGAGGGAGAATTTAGGTAGATTTCTTTTTATTTCAAAGTATTGTTTCTTTTTGAAAAAAAAATTTTTTTTCAAATTGTAGTGAATTTGAAAAATTGTTATATTGTTACCAGCATTAGAAAAGTGGCCCTGGTCGTCTTATGCTACTGACCTAGACAACTGCCAGTCTTTGCCTCTTAGTTTACTTTCTCCCTGAAACTGCTGATGCTTTGCCTATCTAGAGAAAATTTTTAGTGCCCATTTAATTAAGTTTAGTAATTTTTGAACTTGTCATCAGATTTTGATTTCACTTTTTATTCTGTAGCAACACTTTATGGACAGCAGAATACCTTGCTTAATCGTAGCTGCAAAGTCAGACCTGCATGAAGTCAAACAAGAATATAGCATTTCACCTACTGATTTCTGCAGGAAACACAAAATGCCTCCACCACAAGCCTTCACTTGCAGTACTGCTGATGCCCCCAGTAAAGACATCTTTGTTAAATTGACAACAATGGCCATGTACCCGTAAGTACCTGCTCTGCCATGATTTTCGTTTTGCATGGTTTGTGGTAACATTGCATGCCTTTATTAGCCATGAGGGTGGAATCTCTGTCACGTAGAAGTTGTTCAGCAACAGAAAGAGACTTTGTAATGAGAAGGGACAAGTTTGAGTAAATGCAGGTTTGGTTTGGGTACCAGAAGAAAATTATATCAATGGTGCTTCTGATACTATTTGACTATATTTGAGCAGGCTGTAACTATCTTAATAGGATAGTGCAATAACACTCAGCCTCTCACCCATCATTAAAAAGATAGTCTTACTGCAGTAAAATGGAATTGACATCATGCTAATAAGGCATTTCCATATGAACAAAAAGTTAACTTTTATATTTTTTCTGCTGATTAATTGACCTTGAGTATGTGAAGGATTCTAAAATCTTTTATGAATTTATGTTTAAATTATGGGTATGTTTGAGTTCAGGATATAATGGCTTTTTTTAGTGCTATAAAAAGTAGTTGTAATTGGGATTCCTTCTATATAAATGTTTTATGTTAAGTGTTATGAGCCACAAACTTTATGTACATTTATTGTATATCTCTACATGCATATGCACAAGCACATAACTGTGGTCATCTTTGTAGTTTACTAACTGCCTTAAAACTGCATGGTTCTTAATGGCATTCTCCTCAAGTACGGTGTTTGTATAAATTCTGTTTTGTGATAAGATAGTTTTTCAGGCAGTGCGTTTCTCAGGACTTTACAGTTTATTCTATTTATTATTATGTTATTCTCTAAATTATTTTTCTTCTTATGAAAAGTACAGTATAGCATAGAGTAATACTCAAAAATTGCTACAAGCTAAGGTTTTTCGAAAGGTTGTTAATTTGTACGGATTTTTCAAATCAGTTGACTTTATTGCTGTTCCATTAACTAGTACTTTAAAAAAAATGCAGCAAACCCTTGAAATTCTATTTGTATTGGAAGAGAAGTCATTCCTTCCTATTACTGTTAGATAAGCAAAACCTTACTTTTTATGTTTACCTTTGCTTTAAAACTTTCGTGTATGTTATCTACAGAGAGGATCATTACAGAGACAGACTCTCCCGAGACATGGGCAACACTGATAGAATAGAGAATTTGAGAAAAATCTGGGTCTTTCTAAAAACTGCTTTGTAAGTTACTTTTTCTTTATGGCTTCTATGGCATTTTGTTGACATTTTCTTATAGATGACCAAATCTTTTTCTCCATAATTCACATTTAGTAATTATCCAGAAACGCACTGCTTGGTCAGGCTTACTGCCTAACTGTATACTATGGTGTCTTTCTTTTTAATATGTAAATGCACTGTCTTAATCTTGTAAATAACTGCAACTGTGTTTTTAGATCTGCATCTTTAAAATTTTACTGCAATATGTGTGAGTGTGTGTGTGTGTATATGATAAATGTACATACATGGACACTTGTTTTTATGGTTAATCCGAAACTACTTCTCATGAAGCATCTCCCTGTTGCTAAGCATACTTTGCATCCCTCCTTTTTGGTGGGTGGAGCCTGTATATGTTGAAGAGTCAGATTCAACTTATAAAATAACAGATGGATTCCAGTATGACAGCTGGCAGTGACTTAGTAGCAGTGATATGTTCATCATCACAAGTCAGATTTTAAAATGGAATGTCTTGAGCCTGTAAGAGTCTTTTAAAAAATTAATTCTTGTTTTTCTTCATGTTGGGAATTAGGCATTATTGGGATGCTGCTAATCTCCACAACCATGCCACCGTGTGCTGTGGTCTCATCAGATCTCACAAGCTAAGCCAAGTCAGATTGGGCCAGTCCATTGACTGAGAAGCCTCTAAAAAATGTTCAGGTGTTACAGGAAGTGATGTAATTGATTCTTCAGGTGGCGCTCTTCTGAGTGGGTTCTGCGCCAGTACCTCTCCAGGGGTGGTGTGATGGCCATGTATGTCTGAGTGGCTCTGACCACTGAGCAGTCATTGGAGACCCCCTACTTTGGTTGTTAGATTGGAGGTGAAATGGGCTGCCCCACGTGCCTGTACCAACTAGTGCAACTCACTCAACCAGAAAGGAGTCAGAAAGCCTCCCTAAATTTCATATCTAATATCAATTGGATCCATTGTTGATTTTTTACACCCTTACCCAGAGTTTCATATTATCATCCTTAGCTGGTGTGTTTTGCTAGCAGACGAAATTAACCCTATATTTTGGGTTCAAGTAGAAATTTATGAAGCACTTTGATTTCCTTTGGGAGCCATGGTGCTTGATGAATTAAAGACGATGTTGTTCATATCTCCTCAGGGTTGAACATACTCGTCTTTTGACTCTTTTGTGTATTTGTCACTCTTCTCCTTCCTGGTTTTCAGGCATGTGTATATACTGAGGGAGGAGGAGGGGATGGTTATTTAAATGCTAGCAAACTCTGACCTTTTGGTGGGTGCTGTGGCTTACCCAGTTTTTCTTTTATTAATTTAGATGAGGGTGCCATCTATTGCTGTGCATATTTATTCCACTAAAACCCTTGTACTAATAATTCTATCCTCCCTCCAAAAAAGCAAAAGTGTTAGCTAATTTTCCTTAGATTTTCTATAGGGAGGGAGGAGGGAGCTATTGCTGTTCATTATATTTTTGGTAAATGTGGAATTCTGCACAACTTTAGCATGCCCCACACTGTCCTTTTCCTTAGTGTTGCTTATGCCTAAATCTTTTTTTTTTAAGTTGGCACACTCTGACTTGTGCCATATTTGTAAGTAAGAACTCAACTCCTGTCCTTCTGTGTGTTTTCGCAGCCATGCCCGGTTACGCTGTATGTGCACCTGCAACAGGTGTACATTTTGCATCTGTCAGAACTTCCTCAACTCAGACTTGCTGCAATCTGTAAAGAACAAAATCTTCACTGCAGTTCTTAACAGGTTCTTAACTTTCTTTACTGGGTACCAGGCATTCTGTTAAAATACAAAAGAAAAAAGTGGTTAACTATTTATTATACAAATACTACAAAGACAACAAGCTGACTGATGCCCAACTAACTTCCACTAAAATTCTCACTATGGTGACAATGTTTAGTTCTGGAATCATCCTTAATGTTTAAAAATTAATAGATATATTTAGGGGACTATAAAGTAAGATTTTAGCTTTTTTTTATTAAGGAAGTTAAAGTATTTTTTATATTAGGGGATAATATATGTAGGGAGATTAAAAATCTTTTGGCTGAGAGTTGTAGAAATAGATTAGGGCTTTAGTAAGGAAAAGACACATTGATTCCACATGTTATACTGTACTCGGCTTGCATTCAAATAGTACAGCTTATTAAAACCATACTTATATGAGCGGTATCTTGGGTTTGAACAACTTCTCTATTGAAATTATTTATAGTTATAATGTACTTTTACTTTTAAGTACCTGGAATGTTTTTTTGAAATGAAGATCATAACCAACTTTAAGGATTCAAAGGAATATGGAAAAGAAAAAGATCTATAGTACTAGTTTTTGAGGTCTTTACAGTTGAACCCGAAACATAAAGTATGCCTAGAAAGTAATATGCTTTTAAAAAAGAAAGAGAAACAACAACAAAAAAATAGGTTGTATACATTCCCTCAGAGCAATAAACTTGGAAGGTTATGTTCTTATTCTGGTCATGCTACCTTTCTTTGTTCAAATCGATTTTACATTTTGTGAACATTTAAGAGCCTGTGTAATATTAATTTGTATCTAATGTCAAATTTTTATGTGTCTATGAATGAATTAAGTTTTTGAAATCATTCAGATGTCATTGGGACCAGGGCTTGATTAAGACAGATGATCAAGCTAAACAGATTTTGGTTAGAAATGGATCTTATTTGGGTTCCTGTTGGACTCTTACTGAGGACTAGGCTCCAACTGTACCAAATGAGTAGGATAGTTTGTGTCCACCAGCAGTGTAGACACGGCTATTAAACAGTGAGGCTGTATCTTATGCGAGTCAGAAACTGACTCTGAAGGCATTCTAAAAGAGTTTCAGTGATGCTTTGAGCACTAGTAGCTCTGGAATAAGAATGCAGCCATCATAGGTGATTGCTTTGAAGGGATCACCGCGCTCATTTGGTGGTGAAGTTCTGCCTCTGTCTTTTGAATGGCATCTTATAAAGAGTAACACAGACAGATTTGCTCATGACAACTGTCTGAGAAAGTGCAAGGCTAGTTCAAACCAGACAGCATTCAGGAGCTCCGGTGTTGGAAATGGTAGAGTTGGAAGAGATTCTAGAATTCATCTGGCCTAACCTCCCATTAGATTGCCTTCCTGTGAGCCTTCCTGATAGAGTTTAGAGATACTGTTTATCTGCTGATGGCTTTCCTCATTGGAGAAGGTTTTTGCTTTTGCCTTTTTTTTTTTTTTTGGACTAAAATTATTTCCCTATAACTTTCTCTCCTTTAGCTTTAGTTCTGCCCTTTAGAACAACATACGACTATTCTACTCCCTCTTCAACATAGCCTTCAGACATTTGAAGACGGCCATCATGTCTCCCCTAAATTTCTCTTCTCCAGGTAGAACATCCCCATTTCTTTCAGCCTTTTCTTAAATGGTTTAGTGACTTCATCATTCCTGGTTTTCCTCATCTGAAAGCCCCTTAGTTGTTCAGAGTACCTCTTAAAAAGTGCCACTGAGAATGGAGAACAGTGCTCCCGGTGTGATCTGACTAGTCCATAACGGTGGGTGGTCATATTCCACAGTTAGGACAGCACCTGTCTACTGCATGAATTAACTTTTTAGCAGCCCCAGCCCACTGTTGATGCATATTAATCTTGGGGTTGAAATCAGATTTTTTCATACAAGTGCTATTAAGGCAGTGTCCCCTCCTCTCTGTGTATTTGACAGTTTTAGTTGGCTCTTTGTATCTAAATGCGGATACATATATATCTCTATTGAGTGTCATATTCTGCTTTTTGATCCATTGTTCTAGCTCAGTCATTTCAAACATTATTTCTGTCATTTGTCCCATTATATATATTTCTCGGCATTGTGTTATTTGCAAATTTGGTAGCTGTGTCTTCTTTATCTTTCAAGTTATTGATTAAAAAATAATGTTGAATACCCAGAGATTAGAGAGCGAGATTGCTCAAGCAAGCAAGCCCTTTAGTGCTCCACTAGAGAACTCTTCCCAGTGACACAGATTCAGAATTCTTGGGGAAAGATTATTCTGTCAATTAAAAATATTTTATTATCCAGCCCATGTTGTATCTTACTGTCTTATAAGAGATTTCCTGGAGGGCTCTTTTGAAATCAATATAATTTCTACCACATTCCTCTGATCCACCAATGTATTAATTTTATCTAAATAGAAAGTGACATCTATTTGGTGTCTTATTCTTGGTGAACTCACCTTGGCTCCTAGTAATTGCTGATCGCAAACCATCAGTTTTATTCTAGAAGCTCTTGATCGTCCATAATTGCAGATTGATTCGTTGTCTGCATCTTTAGTGCCAATTTTAGTTTTAGGTTGGTTTAGTCAGCTTCCCAATGAAATAGGTTGGGTGTGCATTAATGGATGAGATTGCTCATCATAAATTACTCTGTACAGTGATCCTCGAAGAGAAATCAGTCCATTTTGTCATATCTAATTATAAGCTAGAAATAATTTAATGGTAATGTCAGCATACATCACTGATGTCTGGTAATCAAGAAGGAAAGAATGAAAAAGATGAGGAGGAAAACCAGCATACTTTTCAGAGAACTCCTTCCTCTTCCCTGGTAGTATTTCAATAAATTATTTTATAGAAGTCCAGTGGAAATTTAGGAGCTCTATATTGAAGTTTCTTCTAATTCACAAAAGGATTATAGATGAGGTAGGTGAGGATGGAGGCCAAAAACTTAAGTACCTACAGGGTCTGGATGGATAATGTTAATGAATGAAGGTGGCCAAGGAGAAGAAATAAGAGAGGTGGGAGCTACGACAGGTCCTGTCTGCAAGAGGCAGCCACCACTCAGCTCTGGCTGTTGGTTATTGTGCAAGCGTGGTATCGCCAGGACTTCTGATTCTCTGAGACACTAGAAGTCAGGATTTTTTAGGTAAAATTTCCTGATATTTAAGTAAAGGCAATTAAATTTTAAAAATCTGAAGTACTAATCAGAACAAAGAAAGCATGTTTACAGGCCACCAGTTTGCACCTTCAGTCTTAAGACATAGCCTAAAGTTGTGAAAATGCAGGCCAGAAAAAGGTGCACCTGAGGAAGGAAAATGTCTCTTACAAACACCTCCACATACAGTTTTACTCCTTTCTCTTTAATAACTTGAAAAAGTAATGGGGTTGGTGGGGTGAGAATGGAACCACTTTCCCTACCGTGTCTTGGGTTTTGGCAACCTTTTGGTGGTTGGTCACCACTGGTTTGCTGTGCTAGGTGTATCTTAATGTTACATAAACAGAGAAAGGATTCACTAATTGAGTAAAAGTCATATAAGAATTTTTCACTGTAATTCAATAGGGACGATTCTCACTCAACAGTAAGTCTTAAGTCTTCTCATTTTAGAAATCTGCTGTGCCTAGCGTTTGATTTAGAAGTATAAATGAGCAGTTTAAAATTTTTTATTTAACCGAAAAGTTTTGTAAAATGTCTGCAAAGAAATTAATAGACAAATATTGGTACATACATGTTGGTCTCAAATTAGTACATTGTTTTAGCATGCTTGTAAAAATTTTGATCACCAAAGTAGAAACTACTTCCAGAGATAATACATGTTTGGTGCCACGTTCTCCCCTTATGTCATCCTCCTACCACTTTGATTTATTCATCCAAATACTTAAGTACCTGCTTTAGATAGGATCCTGCTGTGAGCTGGGGCAAAATATCAAGATGAAGAAGATACAGACCTGTGTTTAAATACCTTTCTAAATATTGTGTTAAATTTTTTTTTTAACTTTTGGTTATATTTTCAGTGACCTTAGTGCCCTATGCTAGCAAAGGAAATGCTGTAACCTGATCATGAGAGGATCTATGCCAAATTAATTAATTTATTCTTACGCAATTTCAACAGTTCCAACATTTCTGAAATTGTCCATTTTTCCCCATCTGTTTTTGACCAGAAAAGATTGTCTTTATTTTTTTAGCTTATTTACTGACACTATGTATTTTAAGTAGAAAGTAGTAATAAAAATTTTTTTCTTTCCAGTTTAATTGAATGTATATTCAACATGTGAGAGAAGTGTTTAACTACATAGCTGACGTGTGACTTTGTTCTTTGGTAATTATGGTCTCAGCCTTTAGATCTGGATAGGTTTATGTTTTTCTTTGGAATAATTTATGAATAGCTGGAATTATTTGAATTTAAATACATTTGGAAGATTATTAACCTGTGGCCAGGTGATTTTAGTCTCTGGCAATGCTTTCATTTCAAATAGTGAAAATCATGTTATTGGAGAAAAGTACCTTTTGATTATATTTTAATTATAAATACCTCTTAAATCTGAAGGTGTTAAAATGATTATGTAGGAGTGGGCTTGATTGTTGGTTTGAACTACCCAGGATTTTAGTTTATTAAGTATTTATTATTCTGACTTTAGAACACTCCTGCTTTGCATGAGGATGTCACTGTACTGTAGTGTGTGTGCACTTTAATTTGTCCCTTCCTTTAGGTGTTCATTTTCATTTGTTTGCCTGTGCCACTTAGTCATTTTTTAACTCCTCTTGAGCCGTTTCCCAGCTGTGTTTCAGTGTATAATCCTCCCATTTTTCCTAACCTATAATTTAATCAAATTGTTTATTTTACGATTTATTATTTTGGTGTGGTTTTCTCTGATGCATATCTTGGTTTTAGTATTTCTTTCACCACATTTTAGTACTTGGATTAGCCGTATAGGTTATTTGTTCATGTTACTTCTTAAGTTTGGTAACAGCATCTTACTTTAGCAACAAAATGTGTAGTTCACACTGAGTATTTACCGAGACGCAAAGGTATGATGGACAAGTCATCATACCCATTGTATTTTTTATCCTGTTTATTAATGTATTTTTAAAAATTGGATATATGTGACATTTATTTTAATCTGTTCTTTAACGACTCACTTCATTTGCCCATATTACTTTAATAATCACCTAAGTTCCTCCTTCACATTGTTTGAAATCATGTTACTTAATATAGGAGCCCTGTTTTTGAAGAAAGGACTTCACTGTTGTCACGCTAAAATGAACTGTCTTTTCACAGGATTGCTTTATGAAGAGGATAGTTTCGTAGAAATCTTAATGCTATAGAGATTCTGTAGGGAATGTAAGAGTTCTCAGGATATTACGTTACAGTAAAATATTGTATTTTAAGGAAGTGCATCCTCTGTTTTAATTTCATATGAAACTTCTGTGTTCATATGAAAGGTCCTTACAAGGCTTTTCTTTGAATTTGGATACATATACATAGTCATACGTTTAAAATTATATGAGAGCTTGTGTTATAGATTCTCTTCAAGTAAGCTGCTGCTGCTTATAAATTAAAAAATTTTTGCCATTTGGTTTAGTATATTAAAGGACACAACAGGATGGAGTTTGCCTATTCTGACCTTTAAGTATCTGTAGTTAACATGTAGAAGACATTATGTGTTTCCCATGTATCTACAATCATCCATGAATTTTTATTCTTCTAATGCTTGGTGAAGCATTTCTTGACATTGATGCACACCTATGTCCTTTTCCTAAGTATGTTACTGTTTAGGCATGCTCAGTTAACAGCTTTCGTATGATTTGTGTTATAGTTCATCTTTGTTGGACACTGTGGTTTTATTTCTTAACCTATTTCGAGAAATAGCTTATTAAAATGTTTCATGCCTACTAGTTCAATTAGAATTGTCATTGTTAAAATTATTATTAGCAGTAATGGCATTATTATTGGAGGTAAATATGAAAAAATACTTCACCAGGTGGCAGAAACAAAAAGCAGGGAGAGGATAACATTCCCTTTATTATTGGTTAAATACACTGAACCAATAAAGATTTTAGTTCATGTTCTTATATTTACCATAAATTGTAGTTAATCAAAGCATTTTGTATGCCTTCTTTAAGGCATTCTGTGCAAAGGTACATAGGAATTTTTGTCTGTTGTTATATGCCTATGTGACCTTCACACAAAGTTTTTAATGTGCCTCTTTATTGCCTGAATTTTGAAACATTATCTTCTCTCTGCCTTGTTAAGTAGCAGCCTTAGTAATACCCAGGTCCAAACCTGTTGGTTTGCTCCCACACTTGTGTCAAAAAGCGCTTGTTTGGCTTCCCTGGTGGCGCAGTGGTTGAGAGTCCGCCTGCTGATGCAGGGGTCACGGGTTCGTTCCCTGGTCCAGGAAGATCCCACATGCCGCGGAGCGACTGGGCCCATGAGCCATGGCCGCTGGGCCTGCGCGTCCGGAGCCTGTGCTCCGCAACGGGAGAGGCCACAACACTGAGAGGCCCGCGTACCGCAAAAAAAAAAAAAGCACTTGTCATCTAATCGACATCTGGGCCCTCAGCACTTCTAAAACAGGAAGCCAGCATCCAGTCCACAGGAATTTTCTACCTAAGAACTCGAAAGCTGTGACAAGCTTCACACGATTTTTTAAGGTTATATTTTAGCATTTAGTCGTTCTTTCTTATGTTCTAAAAAGAGATACTGCTGAACCTAAATTATTTTATTCTGCGTAGAGTAGGGAAATGTGTGATTCTGATATATCAGTAGATTGGAAAAAAAGAACCTTTTTATACATACACACACACACATTTTTGACCCTGTAATATTCATTTTGGGGTAGTCTATCTTAAGGAAACTATTTTAAATATAGCGAAAAATCTTAACGTAGAAAGGTATTCATCACTTTAGTTACCGTCACCTGTAAATGGTGACAGCCACCAGTAGGAATATAAAGCAGCTATTTAAAATGATGTCTCTATAATTTATGTAAAAGTGCCTATATAATATTTTTAAAAGATATAAAAGTATATAAATTATACACATTGTGTTTGTAGCTATGTTAGAAATACATAGAAAAAGTTTAAAAGGAAATACCCCAAATTTTAATTAGTTGCCTCAGGTGATTCTAGGTGATTTTGTTCCTTCCTTCTTTTATTTTCCTCATATAGTGTGCTTGTATAACTTTTTTAATATAAATTTATTTATTTATTTATTTTTGGCTGCGTTGGGTCTTCATTGCTGCACGCAGGCTATCTCTGGTTGCGGCAAGCAGGGGCTACTCTTCCTTGCGGTGCACAGGCTTTTCATTGCAGTGGATTCTCTTTGTTGCAGAGCACGGGCTCTAGGCACACGGGCTTCAGTAGTTGTGGCACTCAGGCTCAGTAGTTGTGGCTTGTGGGCTTAGTTGCTCCGCAGCATGTGGGATCTTTCCAGACCAGGGCTCGAACCTGTGTCCCCTGCCTTGGCAAGCGGGATTTTAACCTCTGTGCCACCAGGGAACTCCCTGTATTACTTTTTTAATAGTCAAAAAAAACTTAAGAAAAAATATGCAGTAAGATATTAAAATTTATTCTGAGGTATTTTATGTGAATCATTTGGCAAGAATTAAACTTTTGAATTGTGGAAGCATTCCTTTTGCTTGAGTTTATAGGCATGAACTAGGAAGCAGCCTTATGAAACTGTTACTCTGCTTCTGCTTGAGATCTGAAATGACAAACATGGCTCAGTTCTTAATACTTACAATTAAGATTGCACTGTTCTCCATTCAGGTGTTGTCAGTTAGGCAGGCACTGCAAATGTGCCATCTGTTATAAATGCGTTCTCTTTTGTAAATAGAGCCTGGTGCTGTAGCTTTTAAATGCATATGGTAAAGACATAAAATAATTCTCTAAGTAGCTTTCTGTCTAAAAGTAGTTTTCCATGTCTAAAAGTATGTTAAACAACTACTATAACATCGGTAGAGTCATTGAAATATATTTTATGAGTCTGTGGTTGCCTTGAGTTTTAAACTAGCTGTATATTGAACATGTATCTGTATTGTTTTCCATCTATAAATATGAACCACTGTTTTGCCTATTGAAGACTATACTATAGCTTAGGGAAAGTAATAATTACTGTCTTGAAATGCAAAAGAAAACTAAGCAATAAAGTCAGTTAGAATATATTATTTCATGAATGGTAATACTTTCTCAAAATTCAACAAAGGGAGCTAAGCTGTGTTAACAGTTTCCATATGTGAAGAATATTGATGAGAAATCATTTTGACTGATTTTAATGTCATTATAGCTAATATTAATCCTAACCCCCTTTTCCCCTAAATTAAAAACTAAGCGTAAAAATATTCTCCATTAGTGAAGATGCATGAAAATCACAGAGAGACCAAATCTGAAGCAAACCTCGAATGCACTTTTAGCCTGTGTTCTCACTTTAGGTTCTGTGCGTCCCTGCTGACTTGGAGTTGTAAACTCTGAAACTCTCATCATAGGGCCATGACAGCCTCTGAGTTTGGGATGTTTTACTCAGTTTTTGTTTTTTTTTTTTTACAGATGTATGTTTGTAGTTTTTAGTAGTCAGAAACTAGAAGCATTTCTAAACTTCATGACTAATAGTTGTTAGCCTCATTTTAGGTAAATACTTATAGTCACCGCATATTGTCAGGTACTGCTTATGGTATTGGTTTCAAGGGCTTCTCTTAGTGTTTCAGATATACCAAGACCAGCCTCTGGGAGATACATAGAGAACGTATATAACAGCCTTAGGTTTCCTGCCTGGTATGTGAGTGTTTTAAAAGAGTATATATAGATAGATTTTTTTAAGTTTGGCAATTTTCTATAGAATAACTTTATTTTAAATATAGAAAGCATGAGATGCATCATGTAGGGTGGCAACTCAGTTTATGTGTGGGATGTTTAATTGAGAGATATTACTTTCAGTCCCCTTCTTTTGTGAGCTGTGCTGTGAACTGCAAACTGTGTGCATGTGTATAAAAGGTTAAGAGCCCGGGTAGCTGAGTGGGGTGCCGTGCTGTTAGCAGACGACGAAGGCAGTATTATTCACCAGGTGCATGCCATCAGCTCTGTAGAAGATTCCATCTTCGTGGAGTCATCTCATGGTCCACTTTTTCTTGAAGCCAGGTAACATTTCCCACAACCAGCGGGTTGCCTTTGTTGGAGTTTTTCCAAGTGGAAAAACTAAACACCTAAGTATTTTCTTCCCTAACTGTTTTTTTAAAAAAATGAAACATCACCTGTTGGAAGAACTAACTTGCAAGGTGGCATGAACCTGTGTTATCACTTTGCTTTGTAAAATAATAATTATTTAAGGAGTGACTTTTTTTTTTTAATAGAAACTGGGTAAGATAAGTTGGAGTGCTTTGTGTTGTTTTACCATAGTGATAAGCATGGAGCACTTTGCTTGTATTGTAAACTTGTTTCTTAGGGATGTACAGATTGCATTTTGTGATAACTAATCTGATTGTTCTCTCTTTGACTATTACTGAGACAGTAGTTTTGTATAATTTATAGATTTTTGGCTCTTAACTCTTTTGCATATGTCAGTGTCTTGGTCTTTTAATGATGTCTGACTCTTGCTTCAACTCTGTTTGTTTAATTTAGTTGTGAAATAACCTAAACTAGACAGTCTCTCTAAGCTCTTAATTCTGTAAGTTTTCTGCATCACCTCAATTGTGTTCACTTAACTAAAACTTCAGTGACGCTGAATAAAATGTTCCAACCTTTGCTTTAAAGCTGTATCCTCTTCATGGTAAGCTGTCATACTTGAGACCCTTGGGGGTGCTTAGCAGTGTTATTAACTGAGCATGCTCACAAACTCAGTTTGTGATACAGGCTGTCCCTGTTCTTGTCATGCATAATATGGCTTCTTTTATGTCATTTACCTTTCAGTCCATCATGTTACATCATGTCCTTTAGTTGGTACCAATGTCACTGCCTGTCTGATACCAGGGTTTGGTTCGTCTGTTTGTTTTTTTCTTCTTCTTTCTTTAATCAGCAGTAACCAAATTAATGCAAACTTGTAAATCTTCCCCCACCCCTTTGGGGTTTTTTGGGTAAATTTTTATGGGACTCAGTGTTTCCAAAGTTGATTTTAAGCATTGCTCTTAGAAAAGTATTGTCACTTGTCACTTAACTGCTTACAAGATAGCTTTTGGTTCCTGGGGACAGGAGATTGCACATTAAGTTCCATGAAATTGACTCTTAAAATTGTGAGGTCTCAGTCTTACCTCCCATTTTGAAGGACCATACTGGTTTTAAAAAGTGGCAGGTTGATTTGTCTAAGTTCTCCGTTTCCCATGTGAAGAAAATTTATAACATTTTGGATGTTGTTTACTCCCAAATAGTAACTAATTATAGATATTTCTTTATTAATGTCTACAGTATGTCTTAAGATAATGATTATCTAAGCAATGTACATGTGGCTTTATTGATAAATGTTTTTGGTGACCATTACTGTATGCAATTAGCCTGACAAGTGTGCTAATACTTCCCTAAAAGTAGATTGTTCATATAACTGTTTTTTTCATACTAATCATGTTTTAAACATTAATTATATTTTTTGACTACAGGCACGTGACACAAGCTGACCTCAAGAGCTCCACATTTTGGCTTCGAGCAAGTTTTGGTGCTACTGTTTTTGCAGTTTTGGGCTTTGCTATGTACAAAGCATTATTGAAACAGCGATGATTTAAAAAAAATAAAATACTGGCCCTACCAAAAACAAATACTTTTATGTACATTCTGAATGCTTTAAATTCCGCTAGAAATATTGAGATATTTATACATGCAGAGTTACTTTGTTAATATTTGTAATCCATGCGTAAGAGTATTTTAATGATAGTTATAACTGCAGTATTGGCTAGCATATGGAAGGAGACAGCTTTACAGCCAAACTAAAATGACTAACTTTCAGAGGCCGAAAGGGAATATTTTGTAAATAATGTACATATTCAGGCAAGATATGGTCTCCCAGACTGAGTTCAAGAAATGATGTTTCTAGACGTTTCTACATGGTATTATTAGTGCTCAGTTGGCTCACTCTCCTAGGTTGAAGTCAGCTCAGAGACTTTACTTACTCATTGGTCACTTATTTATTTCACATTTACTCAGAATGATCTTTGGGTACTTTAAGTACACGAGGCACAATTTGCCTTTTTCTCTCCGTTTTTAAAAACGTGACTTTCTTTCAGTCCCATCCTTCATGGTAGGCCAGCCTTGAAGCCATCGTTCAGTCTAGAAGATTGTATAGCTGAGTGTGATGCTCTCCTTTAAGGAAGGAGTAAGCTCAAGGCGATTAGCAAAGGCGTCACCTGTGTGATTATTTTGTTTCCTTTGTCAGTATGTTGAATTTTATAGCCCTTTCAATCAAATGAGA